ATATTTGTAAGTAATCATTTTTGATTTCCAGAATTGTATTAAAGCAAAGTGGACATTTATGCATTATGGTGATGAGGATTTCAGGATTAAATGTGAAATAAGAAAAAAAAACTCTTAAGGGTCTTAAAAATAGACTTTTTATGTTTGTTTTTTTTTAATTTGGGGTGAAATATGAACCGGACAAAAAAAAATTAGTAGAAATAGTATATAGCATATTTGCAAGTATACATAATGAAAGCATTTGTTGTACTTAAATGTATACGGATTATAATAAATGACAAACTTTGAATGGTTTCCATTATTTTATTATTGTAACGAGGATATTAGATTATATATATATGCATAAAAGGTCCTATAAATAGGTTACTTTTATGCTTAATTCATGTTTTTTCTTCTAAATTTGGGCTGAAATATGAATTGGACGTTTCTTTGTGAGATTCACGCAGAGATGCTATATCCAGACATCCATTTTTGAAGATTATTACTTTATTATTCAGGATGGTTGAGTGAATATTTTCAGTGTTTGTACGAAAACCAATCCAGAACACGCAAACCATCCTCATCATCAGCGGCTGTTTGAGACTTTAATAACAGAGTCTGTGATCAGCTACACGGGACGTTCAATAGTGTCATTTACAACAGCGTTTGAACGAAACTAAACAACCTACAGCTAAAAATAACTCAAAATATACATATAAAAGCAAAAGCAAACATAAGTCACTCATATTACTGCAGGACGAAAGTCACAGCTAGTTTTAAAACAACCTTTACATGAGAAGAAAACAGGAGACGTGAAGATACAGATAAAGGGCGAATCTCACAGAAAGTTAATTTCATCCAAAAAAAAAAAATTTTTTTTTTTTTTTTGCATAAAGAAATTAATTTCTTCAAAATAAGAGATTTTGCATGATGGCATTATTTTCATAGCAACAAAAAAAAAAAAGTATTTTACAGATAATCGGGAGGAAAATGTGCTTATTTGTTATGAAAATATCACAATAAAGGCTTCATTTTCTTTAAAGAAAACAAAGAATGTCTTCGTTCCTCAGACTTCAGAGCGAAATGTGTGATACACGGGTTTTGTGAGATTCACACGTTTCAAAAACTCATTCGATTTCCATCCAAAAACTCTATTATCGCAAGCATGTTTACACTCTGGTCAGGCGAGATGTTATGATCATACGAGGCATTTCGCTCCAGGTGTTTATAGATGCAGCAGAGCAAAGATTTTCATTAAACACCAGGAGGAAGTCTTTCATCAATTCATTTCCTCTAACAGTAACATCGGATACATTTGCGATACATTACGGTGGTTATTGGTTTATAAAAAACATGCTTAACGAGCTGCACTTTAAAGTGCACTTCAGCAAGCATTTATTAAAAGAATAAAAACAATCTGAGTGTTTAATAATAAAACAAGAGCCTGAGCAAAGCTTCCTCACTGGGTTTCAGACTTCTTTTTGTTTTTCTTTAGGAACGACGGGGTGCGAAACTTTTTCTTCTTCTTTGACGGGGACTTGTTGGGCGATTCGTCGCTGCCGTGATCACCAGCCGCATCGTCCCCGGCAACAGGCTCCTCCCCCTCTGGCTGAGGGGCGGGGTCTGTCTGCTCGGGGGCGGGGTCTTCTGCAGGAAGGGCGGAGACTTCGTCGGGGGTCAAATCGGGGAGGGTCTGTCTTAAAGCGGCGGCGTCACTCTCGTCTTTAAACGTCTGCTCCTGCTGGGCCTCTGCGGAGGAGGATGAGAAGAGAACGATGAGTTTGTAGATCAGCTCAAGAGTCCAGGGGGAAATCCAGCGCTCACAAGCTCGGCTCTTTATGCATGAAGCGTGAAAATCTCTGAAGCAGCATATTATTATGATTTCTGAAGATCATGTGACACTGAAGACTGGAGTAATGATGCTGAAAATACAGCTGCGCATCACAGAAATAAATTACATTGTACAATATATTCAAATAGAAAGCAGTTATTTTAAATAGTAAAAATATTTCACAATATTACTGTTTTTACTGTATTTCTGATCAAATAAATGCAGGCTTGGTGAGCAGAAGAGACTTTTTTAAAAACATTACCAGTCAAAAGTTTTTGAACAGTGTATTTACCCCAAAAATCAAGAGTATTCTCATTACTCTCATAATTGCAATATACTTAAATAGTACGAGTTAAACACACCATTAAAATATTTAAAAATGTTAGTTATGTGCATCAATTAAACAATTTAATTTAATGCAATACTGATATATTTAAATAACATAATTTTCCTATATTACCCATTAATATTACTACTTGATTACTCAACTCAAATGTGTTAATCATTTAAATTAGCCAGAGCAGAAACATAATATTCATACATTACCTGTTCTGCAATACAGACATTAAAGATCCTTGATACTTGTTATAGAAGTTAAAAGAGGAATAAATGAAGACGTTTCTAGGGAGAGATTTGTTGCTAGCATGATCGCACCGAACTCCAGACGGTTTGAACAACATCGTCTTTAATTATTATATCAATCAGGTGTTTTACCTAAAAAATGTATATAATTCATATATCTATAATAATGAGGTGAAGTGTCTTTGGTCTTACTGTGCACAATTCAGTGAATATTATTATTATTATTATTATTATTATATGGAAAAAGGCTTGTTTTTTTGGTAACACTTTACGGGAATCCTTTATATATAATGCATTATAAAAGTATTTTTAATGCATTATTCGAGCTTTGTAATGCATTGATTATGACAGCACAGTACTATAACACCTATCTATTGTTACACCTTTAGTTTAATGCAGTAAAACACGACAACCAATCAATTCCAGACGTAACAAGAAATCTGCAAATATTTTAATGCATTTTAACTTTGGTTACAATTGCTTATAATGCATTATAACATACATTATGAATACCGTTATAATGCTTTATATATATATATATATATATAAAGGCTTCAAGTGTTACCTATGAAAATAATAATAATAAAAAAAGTTTGTCAGTTGTAACAGCACAGAAAAGTAACATGAACCATTAATGTCATCGTTTAACAGGTTTACATCAAAATAATGATAATCAGTCACATTATAGAAGTTAAATGTTATTGCTTTTTGCATTAAAAATTGTCATAAAATTTTATTAACTTCCTCCTATGATTAAAAAAAAAATGTTATTTATGAAAAATTGCTTGATTTATTAAAAAAGTTGTATTAGATTTTAGCTTCCTCCTATGATGAAAAAAAAGTTACATTTAAATAAAATCCAATCAAATCCTGATAAGAATCAGTCACATTATAGAAGTTAAATCTGTTTTAAATGCAGTTTGCAGCCCATGACTCTACTGGAGCAGAGCAGAGCAGATCATCCCTCAACAAACCAAACCCAGAGGACCGCGAGGACAGAAGATGAGAGTTAGACAGCAGAGGAGTGAGCTGAAGGCATGCAGCGGGAAAGAAAACTCAAGCGTGGGGGGGGGGTGAGGTACTTACTACGGTAACAGGTACTCTTTTGCATTTCCATCTCCTGATTGTGACGCAGCCACGAAGAAGAAAAAGCACAAGTAGAGAGAGAATGTCTATGCAGATCAAATCACAGCCACCGGGTTAAATTAAAAAGAAACGAACAGAAACCGTAAAGAGACACACAGAGCACTGGAAGTAAAGAATGGTTGCCGAGCCATTCTTAAAGACCCCAGAGAAATGAGCATGAAGAGTGAATGAGGACATTTAAGACATTTCTCAGATCGGATTACACCTGGATTTAAGAAGAATTTGTCATCATTTCTGATGACATTCAGGCCCTAAAATACTACCAATCGACTAGAATCGCATGGTTTACTAGGGACCATAATCCGTATCGGATAAATAAAGAGAACAATATGTGAGCCTGCAGCACAAAAGCAGTCTTAAGTCGCTGGGGTATATTTGTAGCAATAGCCAACAATACATTGTATGGCTCAAAATTATACATTTTTCTGTTATGCCAAAAATCATTAGGATATTAAGTAAAGATCATGTTCCATGAAGATATTTTGTAAATCTCCTACCGTAAATATATCAAAACTTAATTTTTGATTAGTAATATGCATGGCTAAGAACTTCATTTGAACAACTTTAAAGACGATTTTCTCAATATTCAAGATTTTCAAATAGTTGTATCTCAGCCAAATATTGTCCTCTCCTAACAAACCATACATCAATGGAAAGATTATTTATTCAGCTTATGTATAAATCTCAATTTCCAAAAATTGACACTTAAGACTGGTTTTGTGCTCCAGGGTCACAAATGCGCTTACAAAAAATGTAAAAAGTTTTTTTAAAATATTTATTTAAATATATTTTATTTAACTTTGTTTTATTTGGTTTTAAAAAGGCATAGAGTATAGATTTATAATGCTGGCCTATTATTTATTAATTATTGGTATCAATGTCAAAAAGGTGAAAATGTTGGTGCATCCCTACCTATAAAGCAGTGTTTATTATATAATCTCAACATAACAGCTCCTATTTCGATAAAATGGGTGTAATCCACAGTAATAAAGACCAAGAGGGTAGAATAAAACCTAAATACATTTTTTAAAAATAGCTTCCTAAAAAAATAAAAAAGGTAAAATATAAATTAATATTATAAACATATATATTTTTTTTTTTACACGAGCTTTAAAATAATTCTTTAAAAAAAAAAAAAAAGATGTCATTAATCTTCCATTAAAATGGATTTCAATCAGCTGTCATGATAACATTGCTAAGTAATAATTAAGTGTCAAGCCAGATTCTTTTATAATTATGAGCGTAAACAAAAACAAAACATCAATGCTTCCCTCTGGTCTGTTATTACAAACAGCAATAAATGTCTAAAAATGTTAATTAACGAACAAAGACACACATTAGGCATTATGTGGCGGCTGGTGCTCAGAGACGTACCTTCCTCCACAAGCACAGGTGAGCTGGGAACGGTCTCCTCTTCTGCCTCCTGTGTCTGACCTACAGAGAACACAAGAGCTCAGTCTGGATGTGGAAACCTGTTAAAATGCACAGATCTGACATCAAAACACGCTAAAGAAAGTACGTGACATGCTACAAAAGTGGATAATACCAAAGCCCACATGGAGGCAGTGCACTTTAGATACTGAATGAAGGGGGAAAAAATCTGTGCAATGCATGTAAATATGGTAAAATGTGTCAAACTGAGCAGAGTAATGCAAAAGCATAAAAACTGCCAAAATATATCAGCAGATGATGATTCTATGCAGGTCTGATAACATCTAACTCAATCACCATTAACTAAAACTAAAACAATAATAAAAAAAAAAAAACATGTGTTACTTGAAAAACTAAAAAAAATACAGAAAAAATATTTTAAACATTTTATTTCAGTTAGTTGCCAACATTTCTCTTTTTTTTCAAGTTTACATACTAAATTAAAATAAATTAGAAATAAAAATTAATTAAAAAAAAAATCTAATGCTGAACACAAAAGAAGATATTTTGAAGAACCAAACAATTGTTATGGAATACTATGGAAGTCAATGGGGACCATAAACTGTCTGATTACCAGCATTTTTCTTTTATGTTCAACATAAGAAAGAAATTCATGAAGATTTGGAACAACATTTTTTTTCATATATATATATATATATATATATATACACTAAAATGACAAAAACAAAATTACCAAAACGAACTAAAATTAAAATGAAAATGGATAATGTAAAAATAAACACCAATTTAAAATATTAATAAAAATACTATATTAAATGATACTAAAAACACACAAAAAATGTTAAATAAAATGAAAATGGATGATATAAAAATAAACACTGATTCGGAATATAAACCATTATAGTATATTGATGATACTTAAACAAAATTAACAAAAATAAATAAAATGATTACACATTTAATAAAATGAAAATGGATTATATAAAAAATAATACTAATTTAAATGATAATAAAAACACTTGTCTGACTAGATTATATAAATTTGATTCTTTCCAATTAAATAAATCATTAAATATTATAACTATATAATATAATTCATTAATATAACATTATAACAGTAACATTTATCTGCATTATAAAGTAAAAAGGAAAATCACTGAAGAACCATGAAAAAAGAAACGAGATAATGTGACCCTGGAGCACAAAACCAGTCATAAGGGTCAATTTTTTGAAATTGAGATTTATGCATCATCTGAAAGCTGAATACATAATCTTTCTACTGATGTATGGTTTGTTAGGATAGTACCATATTTGGCCGAGATACAACTATTTGAAAATCTGGAATCTGAGGGTGCAAAAAAATCAAAATATTGAGAAAATCATCTTTAAAGTTGTTCAAATGAAGTTCTTAGCAATGCATATTACTAATCAAAAATTAAGTTTTGATATATTTACAGTAGGAAATGTACAAAATATCTTCATGGAACATGATCTTAACTTAATATCCTAATGATTTTTGGCATAAAAGAAAAATGGATAATTTTGACCCAAACAATGTATTGTTGGCTATTGCTACAAATATACCCCAGCGACTTAACACTGCTTTTGTGCTGCAGGGACACATAAGGAGGAGTTTCACCATCAACACATCAACATCCGAGTCAAATCTCAGTTCAGATTCAGAGCGTCCATTAGAGACAGGTTTATTAAAGAATATCAAAAGAAGAGCAGCAAATCCCACTTCAGAGGACTGAGACTGTAAGAGCGGACGAGGGTGACAGTCTTTATTTACAGATCCAGAGTGTTTTGCCAGGAGAAGGGTGGGATGGATACAGACAGGTGTGCTGGATCACCAAGGTTCGAAACCAGGGACAGCGAGAGGCAGGAAGAAAGAAAGAGCCCAGCGAAGTCAGAGTGAACCCAGAACGAGTGGCCTTCCGCAGGCGGTACCTGCAGACGGCTCAGACTCAGCATCACAGCCCAGAGCTTCCAGCACCGCGGAGTGAAACTCCTCATGAGGGGGTCCTGGAGGATCCGCAGGACTGTCCTGACCCGCTTCAGGGCCACGGCTGGGGATTATGGAGGTGTCCTGCGTGGATGTGACATCTTCGACCTGTGCTAAATGCAATACAACAGTTTCTCTCCTGACCTGTGGAGGGCGCTGGTGGGCTGCGCAGGATTCACGTGCAATAAATCCAAAACTTTGTTCGCCTGACATTACTTGTGCTCATACAATTGCTCAAATCATAAAAAAAAAAATCATAAAATATATTACATATACACATTACTATGCAAAAGTTTGAGGTCAGTAAGTAAAATTGTTTTTTTGTTTTTTTTAAGAAACTAATATTTTTTTCTCAGCAAGGATGCATTAAATTCATCAAAAGTGACATTTAACACATTTATGATGTTACAAAAGATTTCTATTTCAAATAAATGCTGTTCTTTTGAACTTTCTGTTCATCTGTGAATCCTGAAAAATAAAATGCATCACGGTTTCCATAAAAATATTAGTGTTTTCAACATTGATAATCATCAAAAATGTTTCTCGAGCAGCAAATCAGCATATTATTATGATTTCTGAAGATCATGTGACACTGAAGACTGGAGTAATGATGCTGAAAATACAGCTGCGCATCACAGAAATACATTACAGTTTAACACATTCACATAGAAAACAGATATTTTACATTGTAATAATATTTCACATTTTTACTGTATTTGATCAAATAAATGCACCCTTGGTGAGCAGAAAATATTTCTTGCCTACCCTAAAACTTTTGAACATATATCATCAGTTTCTGCGAGGAGAAGTGTGTTGATTTGACAGTACCCGTGTTCTTACCTTCTGTGCCTTTCTGCTTGAGCTCCACTTCCTTGCGATAGTCCTCCAGCTCCTGGTCTGTGAGCTTGTTGAAGGGGTTCGGTCCAGTTTTACTGACGATGACACATGGTTGGTACTC